CGAGGCTAGAGTATTTTCATTTATGTAGTCATTAGGCAAAGCAAAAAAGCATGAATGAACAAGCTAAACACAACTGTAAGAACAGTAATGAGGGCCCTAAACAAAATAATGGGTTTTAGAACTTATTTAGAGTGTCCTATTTATTTTGTTTAGGGGCCTCATTACTCTTCCTAAAGTGGTTCAAACTTGTAATCCTAGCTACTTAGGAGGCTGAAATCTGAGGATCCTAATTCAAAGTCATTCTAGGAAGAAAAGTCCTAAGGATTCTCATCTCTAACCAGCAAAAAGCTAGAAGTGGAGCTGTGGCTCAACTGGTAGAGTGCCAAATATAGAGTTGTGACTCAAGTGGCAGCCTTAAGCAAAACAAACTCAAGGATAGCCCAGGCCTTGAGTTCAAGCCCAAGGATTGGAAAAAAAATAAAAAAAAGAAAGAAAGAAAGAAAGAAATTTTAACTCAGTCTCTACAGATATAAATCTAGCAAATCCAAATGTCCCCTCTCAGAAATCCTATGATGCATAAGCATATTCTAAATGGTGCTTTCTCCCTTTGGTACTTATTTTTAGTAATAAACACCTCTAGGTACCTATATTTAAGTCAAGCAGTACACTCCAAAGAATAAAAGCAAAGTCTTTTATTTTTCCTCTCCTTAAGGAGCCAAGCATAGCTGTAGTAAACATACCATCTATGACAATTGTCATACATGTTGAGAAATATCCTAACTCATATTACAGATGAACTAACATGTTACAGATGTACTAACCTTTAAGAGTCACTACTCTTGCCTAGTATGTGCACGGCCCTGGAAAACTAGAAGTGAGTAGCACTGTGGCTCAAAGTGGAAGAGCACTAGCCTTGAGCAAAAGAATTCAAGGACTGAGCCAGGTCCTGAGTTCAAGCCCCATAACCAGAAGAAAGAAAAAAGAAAAGGAAATAACGTTATATTGAGCCCTTTGAGGCAAGCAATAAGAAATTGTAAGTTATTTAAGAAATACTTCATCTAAATATTTAAAGAATACTGTAGACCGACTAATATTTAACAATCAGTTGTGCTTAGTGGCACACGCCAGTAGTTCCAGCTACTGTTAGAGACTAAAGCAAAAGGAAGGCTAGAATCCAAGAGTTCAATAACATCCAGGACAAGACCTGGTCTCAAAAAATATTTTAAGCCTGGCACCAGTGGCTCACATCTGTAATCCTAGATACTAAGGAAGCTGAGATCTAAGGATCACAGTTCAAAGCCAGCCCAAGCTGGAAAGTCTGTGAGACTCTTATCTCCAATAAACCACCAGAAAACCGGAAGTGGCACTGTGGCTCAAGTAGTAGAGCCTCACCTTGAGCTGAAGAGCTGAGGGTCAGTGGCTGAGGCCCAGAGTTCAAGCCCCACAACTGACAAAAAATAAAGTAAAATAAAAATAAATATGCTGCACCATTCTTTTAAACAAAACAAGATCACAATGTATTGTTTATATACTGATTTGTTGAAACTCCCTTGTACTTTAAAATACAAACACTGGGCTGGGATGGTGGCTCAGCTTGCCTTGCATGCATAAGGCTCTGGGTTCCATTCCTAAGCAACACATAAGGAGAAAAAAAGCCAGAAGTGGTGCTGTGGCTCAAGTGGTAGAACGCTAGCCTTGAGCTGAAGAGCTGAGGGACAATGCCCAGGCCCAGAGCTCAAGCCCCATGACCAAAAAAATAAATAAAATACAAACACTAACATCTAGGCTAATTCTAAGAAAAAAGTCTTAAAATTTGAAACTTTATTATGTAAAAGAAATGCTAAAAAGACTAAGAAGGAAATATATCCAACCCTTGCCTCCTGAAAATCAATTAGAAAAGTTGTGTTGATAGTTTCCCACTTTTGCATATACCTGGAATTTTAAAATTTGTACCATGTAGATATGTTATGTATGTGCCTTTTGTGATTTGGAGCCAGCTCATAAAAATAATTTGGGTAAGTTTAAAAAGCAATTTTCCAAAGTGCTGTCTTTTTTTAAATTACCCTAATTTATGTACTAAAAGGTATTATACTTAAAGGGGAATTCCAGAGTACAAGCACCTACCAGCCAAGTTGCTTGAAATACATTAGTTGCAGATTGAAAAACAAAACAAACATTCAGTTGCTTTTATGTAAAACAAAGGTATGCAAGTAACTAAGTTTAATGTGAAATCTGCAAAATGATCAATCACCTAAAATATGCCTACATACAGTCTTAATTGCCATGAGATGCCTCACAAAATGAACTTAATATGGTCAGTGTCTTCCTTATCTAAACACTCTGACCAAGATAAATTTGAATTTTAAGTTTTTCTGCTTTACAAGATGATTCACCATAGGATTTCCTCAATCGGCTTTTTTTTACAATCATTGCCCATAAAGCACTTGACTTTTCTGCTTATGAAAATGTAATTTTTTCACAATTTTTCAAAAACCAATGTAGTATGTAAAAGGAGACACACATACACTTCTCTAAGAATAAATGTTTTTAATAGTTCTTTCCCCAGAAGAACTTCACATGTTTTGAATTCCTGTTCAGTTAAAAAAAAATTTTAAACATCTACTAGAGTACAAGCGCCTTTATATTAATGAATTTCTTGATGATAAAATAAAGATAAATGTAACTCTTAGATGCAGGCTAATAAACTGCACGGAACAGAAACAAAAAATCTGGCAAGAGCTAAGTAAAGCACGCCTCTTAAAAGGCTACCAGTAAAATATACCACCACTACCCCTCCCCCACTCCCAACCCTTTAAGGATTCAATTAAGATGGAGCCTCCTTTTACTCTTACTAGGGGACATAAAGGAAAAGCAGAGCTTCTGCTCTGAAATATCTTCATCAAGAATAGCGCCACAATACTGTCCGGAACCATTTCCTTCCCTTTCTACTGACATAGGTTCCTCTCTTTATCCACAGTTATTATCTCCCTGCTCCTGATCAAAGGGAAAAAAAGTCTCACCATATACCACCCAAAAGATGGTATCAACTAATTACAACACACATCACAAAAGATGGCATCAAATCAGTTTTCTTTTTTAATTCAACATTAGGGATGGCAATCATGTTCCATAAAATGGGGTTCGGTTTCCCAATTGCAATTTGTTGTCATCCCTCAGTCTCTTCTGGATTAAGAAGAAGCAGCTATTTAACAAGGCACACATACTTTTACACTTTTTCAAAATATTTTTTTAAATATTCCAACTGGTGAGACTTTCAAAACACTGAATGAAGGTGAAGCTTCCACCAAGCCCTCCAGAATTCTTCATAACCAATAGAAAAGCGGTACAAATGAGTAGATTATCATTCCTGCAGATCATTAGCCAACACAACATAAAGAGATGATCACATCAAGACATCCCCAAAAGACAGCCAATTATATATACCATCTCTTTTGTGGACATACAAGACAAGTCATTCACCCCAATATAAATTACTGAGTAAAGAGCCATAAGTCTAAAGAACAACACTGAAAAGTTGATGCATCTCAACTTGAGCCAGGAATGAGACTTCAGTATGTAAGGAATTAGAGACACCAAAGTTTAGGTAAGAGACAACAGGTGCCTTCGGGGTGGAAAGAGTAACACTTAATTTGCCTCCTATTTCCAGTTTTCCATTCTTTAGTAACAATGATTTTTAATTCACAAGGAAAGTCAGAACCAAAATTATGGGTCTTAGTATTTAATAACTACAATGAGCCCGTTGATCTATTGATTTACTTGTAGATTTTAAAAACCATCTAACCCCAATTTTGTGTAGACAATTAAAATATGGCTTATAGCCAGATCGTTCACTGATCCACAAACATTAACCAACTAAGTAAGGATTTATCATCAAGGGCAAAAAGGAAAGGCCACTAAGTACAAGCTACCTCCACATATAATACTCAAAACACAAATCCAGCAGCAGGTATCACATAACTGCAATATCAGCCAAAGCAGAAACTGTCTCTCTCACTATCCAACAGTTGAGTACAATCTTTACAGTAAGCAGATTCCAATGGCCTCAAAGAATAGTAATTCCAGACCCAGGTTACTGAGCATTGGGTATCAGCCTGGAGTTCTGATTCCCCTAGCCGGTTACAAAATTTACTACCTTTATTTGGGTGGAAGTTAACACTGAAAACACACTTCAGCTGACTTAATAACTTCTTTCCTTGCTACACTCCACAAAGCCAACATACTCCAAAAATGGAGAATCCTTTCTTTCCCGACAGAGGCCCCCTTTCCTATGGATTCCTTGGGCAGGATTCCTTCCCCATAGCATGCACGGAGAGCCAGAAAACACTTCTGCATTCACTCTGAAAGCGTCCCCCAACATAGATGCACCTCTTCCTTTCCAGTATTAAGCAAACGATGCTTCAATATTCTGATCTTCCTGCCACTGCAAAATGTTCAGAGAAGTGAGGGAAAGTGAAGGAAAATTTGTCATTTAATGGGGAAGGGGCTACTTTGAAAAGTCTCCAAATTTCAAGTGAAGGCTGGGGGGTGAGAGAGGGGAGGACTGCCCACTTCCAGAACAGAAATTGGGGGTGCCAGCCCTAAAAAGGATCTTCTGTGTGGAGAAGGACTGTCTCGATCCTTGCAAGAGGGCTCGCTGTGTGGAAAAGAGAAAATGCTGTACCCACGAAAGGAGTCGGGTGCGTGAAGGGGTGCCCTAAACCCCGAAGGGAGATCGGCGGGGAAAGCCGTGCGCCCACGGGACGTTGGGGGCTCGGAGGAGAAGGGGTCGCCACTTTGGCCGCAGGGCCCCGCACGGCACGGGGGGTCTGGGAAGAATGGAGGGTCTGGCGCCGCGGGCCGGCGTGGGGGAGGGGCCCGCCGTCCCCCCCCCCCCCCGCCCCGGGCCGGAGGAGGGGCGGCGGCCTCGCGGGGCACATGTGCGGTGTGGGAGCCGCGGCCACCCCGAGGAGCAGAGCGGCGGCCCGAGCTCGGGCCGCGTGCGGAGGGAACAAAGCTCCCTGCGTGCGCGCGGGAAGCAGGACTCTCGCCGCCGTACTCACCGAGGCTGCCGGCGAAACCGTCCATCTTGACGGGAAAGCGCCGGGCTCCGCGCTCAGCGGGGCGGGCACTTCATTCAGCAGACCGACAGAGGGGCCGCTGCTGAACACGACTCGCTCGACGTCGGCCCTGACGACTGTCGTTTGTTCTTCGGTGGGTGGGTGGGTGCGTTCGTCCGTCCGTCCTTCCGTCCGCTCTGGGTCGGTCCGTCAGCTGCGGGCGTCCCAGCCGCTTCCCAGTCAGGTTGGTGAGCCGCGCAGCGCCTCCGCGGGCCCGGCCTCCCTCCCCGCCTGCCGCCGCGAGGGCCGCGCCCCGCCCCCCGCGCCCGCGCGCACCCATCGCCCCGCCCCCCGCGCACGCCGTCACGCTTCCGACTCCGCCTCCCACGTGACATGCCTTGGGGGCGGGGTCTTTCCGGCTCCTCCCTCCCCTTGCTGGGCCTAGGCGTCCGCCCGCCTCGCGTTGGATAGCTGCGCCTGCGTGGTGGGCCTGCCTTGGGCCTAGAAGCTCCGTCTGGCATCAGTAGCCAAACGGATGAGGGTCATGGGTAGCCCACAACTTGGGATACTCAAGTGCGCGAAGAATTCTGTCCCAGGTGAGAAATAAAGGGCGAGGCTTGACCAGCTTGAGGCCACCATTGCCACAGTGGCCCGTAACAGAACACATGCAAAGAATTTTAGTGCCAGACTGTACCCAAGAGTTCTTTTATACGTTTTGTGCCGGTCCTAGGGCTTGAACTCAGGGCCTGGGCGCTGTCCCCGGGCTCTTTTGCTTAAGACTGGTGTTCTATCACTTGTGCCACAAATCCGCTTCGAGCTTTTTGGTGGTTAATTGGAAATGAAGAGTATCACAGACTGTACTGCCCAGGCTGGCTTTGAACCATGCTCCTCAGATCTCAGCCTCCCCAGCAGCTAAGATTACAGGCGGAAGCCTCTCGGTTCCCAGCTCCAACCTCTTCTTACAAGGAAGGGTGTTGAGTCTTAGAAAGAACATAGTGGGCTGGGGAGTTGGCTCAGTGTTCAGAGTGCTTGCCTCGCATGCATGAGGCCCTGGGTTCTATTCCTCAGCACCACATAAGCAGAAAAAAGCCGGAAGTGGCGCTGTGGCTCAAGTGGTAGGGCGCTAGCCTTGAGCTGAAGAGCTGAGGGACAGCGCCCAGGTTCAGAGTTCAGCCCCTACTGACAACAAACAAACAACAAAAATGACCTGCCCAAAGTCATGGAGCCAGACTGACTTACTCCCTTTTATTTTCTTTCCATCAGGGGTCCAAAAGAACCTGTGGATGGAAAACCCTAGGATTGTCCACCAGGAACCCATAACAAGGGTTATTGCAAACGATGGAGCCCAACTCCATAAAATTACCTAATTTATTTAGACTTCACTTTATGCCGTTTGCAAATTTGAGGACTAGATTATAGCAGAAGCATGTAAGTTCTTCATCTTTCTCTTTTTACCCCAACTGTTTCTTCTTTCCAAGGCTTTCTGGGAGTTGGCTGTGCAGTGATAGTTGGAGAGAAGTGTTGCCAGGTGCTCAGAGACTAAGTTAATTATACAACAAAGAGCTGAAGTAGGGGAGAATCAGTGTCAGTCTAGAAAGTATTATAGGATATGTATGCCAGTGGCTCACACCTGTAATCTGAGATCTGAAGATCAAGGTTCAATTCCAGCCAGGGTAGGAATCTGTGAGACTCTTTCTTCTCTCTTGTGGGAATTGAGCTCAGGATGTAGGCACTGTCCCTGAGCTTTTGTGCTCAAAGCTAATGTGCTACCACTTTGAGTCACAGTTCTAGTTCTGTTTTTTGGTTTTTAGGTTTGTTTTGGTTTTTGTTTTGTTTTGTTTTTGGCGGTTAATTGGGGATAAGAGTCTCAAGGCTTTTCCTGCCTGGGCAGGTTTTGAACCTCCATCCTCAGATCTCAGCCTCCTGAGTGGCTAGGATTTAGGGACATGAGCTATGGGCACCTGGTAACTCTTATGTCGTAATCATCAAAAAGCTGGAAGTGGAGCTGTTGCTCCAATGATAGAGTGCTAGCCTTAAGCAGAAAAGCTCAGGGGCAGCACTGAGGCCTTAAGTTCAATCCCAGTATACACACACAAACACACACACACACACACACAAATACACACACACAGTGTTATGGGCAAGAAGGATAGACTGAAATAGGGACATGAGAAACAATGCAGAAACTTGATGAAAGGAACTGAGAGGAATTTTGTTAACATTATTGCAGTATGCTTCTCCCCTTTGGTGCCTCTTTTAAAAAGGCTTCCTTAAACATTTTTTAAGTCTTTCCTGACAATCTGAATGACTTTGTATTTCTGTTTTGGATATCAGATCTGTGGGGATTTTCGATTGTCATACAAATGCAGAATGGCTATAAGATAGCCAAGGTAAACTCAGGTTAGAGACTAAGTACTCTCTAAAGTTTCTCCTTTACTCAAAATAAAGTGATTTACTCAAATTTTCCCTGCAATGGGCATTTTCCTATTTGTATGTCTCTATAAAGCCTAGTTGCTTAATCTTTGAGAAGGTCTCAATTCTGGCAGCTGTGCATAACGTGTGCCTTATGCCTTGAGTCTATTGAGAGAATAAGAACTTGCCTTAGTATATTGCTATACATAAACTATAAATATAAAAATGTATTGTTTAATTCTGAAAAAAATCCATATTTTGTAGGGCCTGAAGCTTTTATTATTTGTGGAGGCCTTTCAGAGAAAAGGAATGAATACAAAAATTACAAACACAAAATTGTGTTGAGTATTTAATTCAACTTAGAAAAGAAATCACAACAGATTACACATTCTAAGAAGCCTCTAAGTACTACTAATATTGCAAAATCAAGAAATATAGGCTAGAGGTGTAGCTTTGTGGTCAAATACTTGCCTAGCATGTTGTGAGTTCAATTCTGAGAATAAATACATAGTAGTTTTTATGTCGAAACTACACAACACATTTCACTACTTTTTTTCCTATGTAGGTTTTGTGTCTCCTTAAGACATGTTTCATTTTTTCTTAAACTGATTACATTTATTGGAAACCTGCTGTATGACAAGTTTTGTACTTAAGTGTTTCATGTATTCTACCTCATCATCACAGCATAAAAATTTTAGGGGCTGGGAAGATGGCTCAGTGGTAGAGGGTTTGTCTTGCATTCATGATGCCCTGGGTTCGATTCCTCAGCACAACATAAACAGAAAAATCCGGAAGTGGGAGCTGTGGCTCAAGTGGTAGAGCATTAGCCTTGAGCTGAAGAGCTCAGAGACAGTGCCCAGACCCAGAGTTCAAGCCCCATGACCGAAAAAAAAAATTGCTATATCAAGGGTTACATTTTTAACAAAAATTTAATTAAAATGATAGAAAGATAATGCTTGGTGCTTGTAATCCTAGCTACTCCTGAATAGATCCTGAGATCTGAGGGTCCTGGTTCAAAGCCAGCCCTGGCAGGAAAATCTGTGAGACTGTTATCTCTAATTAACCACCAGAAAACCAGAAGTGGAGCTGTGGCTCACAGTGGTAGAACACTAACTAGCCTTGAGTGAAAGAGCTCAGCATCCAGGCCTTGAGTCAAACCCTACTACCAAAAAAATAATAAAAGATAGGAAGATAATTTTTTCTAGCCTGGTAGATCAATTTTTATTAGTATTAGTTGGAATAAAATTAGTAATAGTTCACATATAATATAGACTTTACATAATATTGTAGGCATCCTGATTAATTCTACTGCATGATTCCCATTTAAAAAGAAAAAAAAATTGGTAGAATTAAAACACATTCAATTACTAAGTATACTTCTGACAGGAGACAATGTCTTGTTTTGGCCTGACATCAATGAAAACAGACTCCTTCACTTACAATGTACATATCTAATGATTGGAAGAATTTTCCCCTAAACTAGCTTCTGGCTCCATATGTTGCAATCTTCGTTTCTCCCACATTACTCATATACTTCAGTGCCAGCCATATGTCCACATTACAACCTCTATCCTTGCAATTCATGACAGCATGCCAGGTGAGTCACTATAGTAGGCTGTAGGAACATTCCTAAAATCTGTTGCTACACAAAGATAGCGTAATTGCTTAATTAAATGGAAATGACCATTGTGCGTAAAAATATATCTCACTGAGTTTGAAATTAAATGTATCCTCAACTTGGCTTTCCTTAGTCAAATACCCAAGAGATTCAGAGCCATTTCAGTGCCTCCTGATACAAACAAAAACGTGACCAAGAGAAGATTGCAGTGGGGAGACATACCTTCTTAGGCAGACTTGGATAGAACTCAAGCACATGAGATCTGGAGCTTCGGCTTTATTCATGATAAATCTATCAAACTTATCCACAGTCATTCTAACTAATGAAACCAACCAAAAGTGTGTGTGTGTGTGTGTGTGTGTGTGTGTGTAACTTAAGCAGGAAAAATACAGTAAATAGTCATTCAGAAAGAGGACAAATAGATCAAAGAAGGATAAATAGAAATAAACATTCACTTTCCCACAACAGTTCTGGAATTCTGTTAAGATACATTTATTCTTTTTTTAAGTGGGAATTAGGTGAAATAGAATTAATCAGAATTTCTCTGTTATAACTATGTGAAAAATAGGAAAAGTTCTGTGCTTAAATCTTACTCTTCAAGGAACTTCTTTGCTCATTATATTCCATTGCTCTGGTTCCTTTTTGTCTTTTCGTCATATTTTGTCTACATTTCATGGGTCATAACCTATTCATGTGACCATTTTTTAGCTGCAGGGGAGGCTAGGAAATGTTGACTTGCTGTGAATTTAGAAGAAAAAGAAACAACCAGATGCTGTACTCCCCTTCATGGCACTCTACAGTTAGGATTTCTTTTGGGGGGGGATGCGGGGCGGTCAGTCATGGGCTAGACCTCTGGGCCTGGGCGCTGTCCCTCAGCTCTTCAGCTCAAGGCTAGTGCTGTACTACTTGAGTCACAGCCCCACTTCCGGTTTTCTGTGGTTTATTGGAGATAAGAGTTTCATGCTCTTTCCTGTCTGGGCTGGCTTTGAACAGTGATCCTCATCTCAGCTTCCTGGGTAGCTAGGATTACAGACGTGAGCCACCGGTGCCTGGCAACAGTTATGATTTTTTAATTCATTCATTTAATTCATTTTACCCCAGTGACTATTCAGTAAGCATCTCCTCATTAAGCTGTATACTACAAGAGTTTCTAAAACATAGGAGGGGTAGTAAAATCCAGTGGTTAAGATTACAAATTAAAAAAAAAAGATCACAAATTTCAGTATCATATTGACCACATTCACATTTCAACTATGCAATAAATTA